TTTTAATTTACTATTTATTTTAGTTGTAGATGGACATAATACACTTATTTATTTATTTATTTTTGTGGTGCTGGGAATTGAACCCAGTGCCTCACGCATGCTAGGCAAGCTCTCTACCACTGAGCCATACCCCCCACACACCTTTTTAAGATAGTGATTATTATTCTTTAGGCCAAGGGGGAAGGGGCCAGTAGAGTTAGGAGACATCATAGCGGATATGATGCTTGGGCAAGGTATGAGCAGATGTCCAGCAGGCAATAGAAAAGGAAGAGGGAGAATCACAAAGACAGGGAAGCAGGAAAGAGCACAGCACATTCAGGTACCTGGGACCACTTCAGAGTAGCCTGGGTGACAGGGTAAGGAGGTGCTTTTCAGCAAAACCAGAACAAAGAGAGATCAGGGTGAAAGACGATGGGTTCAGTTTTGGATGTGATGTTTTAGGGCCCCCAGGAGGAGTTGCCAGTAGTATTTTTCAGGACTCTCTGCAGTCTTGTGCAAGAGAGGGCCTGCCATAGGCTTCCTTAAGAGGACATTGCTGGCAACTTATGGAACCAGCCAGGTGCCCGTCAACAGATGAATGAATTAAGAAATGTGGTACATATACACAATGGAATTTTACTCAGCCGTAAAAAAGAATGAAATTATGGCATTTACTGGTAAATGGATGGAACTGGAAAACATCATGCTAAGTGAAATAAGCCAGACTTAGAAAGTCAAGGGTCAAATGTTTTCTCTCAGATGTGGAAACTAGAGCAAAGTAAAGACAAAAAAGGGGGGATCCCACAAAAAATAGAAGGAAGACAGTGGAATAGAGGAAGGATATTGAGGGTGAGGGAGGGTGGCTGGGAAAAGGGAGGTAATACAAAATGAAATTGTCAAAATTACACTGTGAGCATACCAGTGTGGATTCCACCTTTGTGTGTAACTATAAATCACTAATTAATAATACATATATAAATAAATAAATAGATGGAAAACCAGTAGAGGAGAGGAAAGGGAATAGAAAGAGGGAGAGAGGGTGAGGGGGAAAGAGGAAGTACAGGGAATCTAAATGGAGCAAATTGTATGTCATGCGTGTATGACTGTCAAAATGAATCCCACTGGTATGTATAACTATAAGGCATTAATAAAAAACAGTAAAAAAAAAAAAAGAAAAAAAGAAAAAAAGGACACTAGTCTGGACTTCCTGCAGACATGCCCCTCCAAAAAGGGCCAACGACATTTCCCCACCCAGAGCACACATCCCTTTCTAGACTACTTCAGTTTCCTAGGGTCACGGAAGCTTTTGCTCAAATGGCTCAGAACCTCTGGGTGTGGTGGCATATACCTGTAATCCCAGAGGATGGGGAGGTTGAGACAGGAGGATCACGAGTTCAAAGCCAGCCTCAGCAACAGTGAGGCGCTAAGTGACTCAGTGAGACCCTGTCTCTAAATAAAATACCAAGTAGGGCTGGGAATGTGGCTCAAGGGTTGAGTGCCCCTGAGTTCGATCCCTTGTACCAAAAAAAAAAAAAAAAAGGCCCAGAACCTGCTTCCAGGGCCTGTATATGCTTTTTCATCAGTCTACTCTCCAAGGGATGTGTACCCAGAAGGGCAGTCTCTCTCTGGAGTGGCCCTGCAGTTGATATTGATGATGGAGGTGGTAATGATTATATCTTTGTTCCTTGGTGTTTTTTCACTCTGCCTCAGACATCTCTTTCCTCTTTTTTCACCTCAACCCAAACGCCTATGTGTTCTGGTCTGTATGTGTCTACCAAAAGTTCAGGTGTAGAAATTTATCATCCAAATTCATATGTTACTTGTATTGGAACAGGGGCCTTTGGTGGTAATCAGAATTGGATCAGATCATGAAGGTGGAGCCCCATGATGGCATTAGTGGCATTATAAGAGAAAGAGACCTGAGCTAGCAGCTTACTATGTCTCACCATGTGATGCCCTCTGCCATGTCATGATGCAGCAAGAATGCCCTCACCAGATGCCAAGCAGATGCCAGAGCTATGTTCTTGGACTTTCCAGACTCCAGAACCTTGAGCAAAAGAAGCTTCTATTCCTTATAAATTACTTAAGTCTTAGGTATCTGTTATATGAACAGAAAATAGACTAAGACACAGGAAGCCTTCCCCTTGTCCATTAAGTTGCCCTCCATGCACTTCCATGGTCTCCTGTTCTCACTTTACCACAGTGCATTTATAGCATACAGTAGACTATCCACTATCCGTATTTCCTGGATGTGTGGTCATGGTTTCTAGTATCAACAAACACCCTGATTTGTCTGGAACTGTCTGGCTTTAGCACTGAAAGTCTAGCATATCAGGAAGCTCTTCAATCTTAGGCAACCCAGGACTTGGTCACGCTAAACTCACATCTCAGTTTTTTTGTTTATTTTTGTTTTTGATGAACAAATAAATGAATAGCAACATGTCAATATTAAAGTTGAAGGCACTCAACTTTTCTTAGGTATATGTGAGCACAAGCCCCTTCAAGAGGTCTGGAGGATTCCGTTCTTTTCCTACACTCTTCAACCTTCATCGATCCAACAAAACATTACATGGCTGGATTCCTGCCCCAGCTCTGTTTTCCCTGCAATCCTGAAGGCCTGGAATCTGGTTTCTTCATCAGTGTTCCTTATCTGTACTACAGAAGAACAAAATGATTTCAGTTCCATTTTCTCAATCCTCTCAAGGTTGGTACATAGCTAGTACCCTTTCTAGACACACAGAACAAAAGCTAATATCACTACAAATGACTGATGCCATTTAGGGCTTCATTCTTTCACCTACTGAGAAATCCATAGGCTGTAAGATCAAGAATGTTAATTGGCTCAGTGGTAGTGTGCTCACCTAGAACCAGCAAGGTGATGGGTTTGGTCCTCAGTACCACATAAAAAAAAATTAATTAAAAAAAAAGAGTGCTACTATGATTGTCCCTCTGCCCTTGTTCATTAGCATAGCTGACTGGAGGAGGGAAGCTCTGGGGAGGAAGTGTCAGAGGATAGCACTTGTGTTATCTCTATTCTGCAAATGAGGAAGAGGTCTAGAGAGGAAGTGCATTCTCATTTACCAAGATGGGCAAAGGTAGAGAATTGTAAGATCTCATCATTTGTGTGTGCGTATGGGGTGAAGAGAAAGATACTTCCAGGCCTTCATGTGGCGGTCAACACCAACTTTACTTCTTAGCTGGCAATTGCCAAAGTCAGGCAGCACTGTATGTCATGCTGTGGAAGACAAATGCTCTATAAATAAATTGATTTGGAATACTCTCAAATACGCATAAACCATAATGGCTTTAATGTAACTCTTGACTTTTCTCTCATTTTCTTTCTCTTCTTGAGAGGTCAGCAAGAAAGATTTTGTAAGAGAGTCTTATCAAAATTCAATCTAAGAAACCTACAAGAATTTTTTCTGTATCCCTCTTTAAAAAACCACATTTTATTTCAAAATATTTGCTGAAAGCTCCTGGATACAAAATATACCTCTTTGAGCACCTACCTGTATATTAAACTTAAACTCACACTTGTTATATGTTATGCATTAATTCTTTAAAAATTCATTTTCTAGAGATGATTATTCATTTTGTCATTCAATTTCCCATCATTACAATTTTCATATGTAAAATCTCTGCATGCTAATAGGGTACTGTGTAAAGAGATTATTTTTAGTGACTCAGCTGAAAAGATCATTGATGGATCTTCCAGCTGAGTATATGAAGAGGAAACAGGGACAAATGTCTGAGGCATACCTTGGAAAGACTTGGAAGCTACCAGAAGAGAGTTATAGAATGGTGACCTCAGATTTTGAAGCAGAGGAATCCACTTTTAAGGAAAATTCTGCCTTAATGACATTTATTTCATCTGTAGGACAAAGTTAATTAAATCTCCTTCCCACCCACTAGCATTACATCACTACATTATCAAGGACAATAGAAACACAAGGTTCTGATTTTTCATTGAACGGGTCATTCATCTGAAAGGGTCACAGGGTTGCCAATGCTAATTAGAAGAGCACTTAATGCCTGGTTTGCACAGTTAAAAGAAGACCGATCTCTAACTAGTAAAGAAATTAATACCCTCCTCCTCCTCCTCCCCTCCTCATGTTTTTATTTTTTGATTCTGGGGCTACTTTGCCTTATTTTTAAAAATTTTCAGACAGGGTTCTAAGTTGCCAAGGGTTTCACTAGTTGGGATCCTCCTGATAGCCTCCTGAGTCCCTGGGATTACAGGAGTGCCCAACCCCGACTGGCTAATACTTCCCATTTTTTTTTTAGTTGTTGATACCATTATTTTATTTATTCATTTTTAAATGGGAATCGAACCCAGTGCCTCACATGCTAGGCAAGCACTCAACCACTGAGCCACAACCCCAGCCCAAGAAAATACTTTTGATGGTGTGAGAAAACGCCCAGTTTGGCTAAAAGTGGTTAAATGCCACTGATGTTTTCCAAGTAGGTACAGATTTCTGTTAGTGAAAATCAAATGGTCTTGCTGGACAGGAAATATTCGTTTAAGGCCACCTTCTGGGTAGGTTAGATGTTTAACTCAGCTTACTAAAAATGCTGCTCACTAGGTTTCAAGGGTCCACATAACGATGCTTTTTACGGGGAGGCCTTGATATGGCTTAATATGATTTTTTTTTTTCTGGGCTCAGATTCTACCATCAACCTTCTTAAATAACTGCATTTTGAACATTAATCCCCAGTTCCTCTTTAACTTCTCAGCATCTGCTCCACAGGCTGTCTACTTTGGGCTCCCAGAATCGAGAGGCCATTTGGAAAAACCAATCCCACAGCATCTTGGGATATGGGTTTTGAGTGACTTCCCCCCCCCCCCGCCCCCCTGATAAATTACTGCTGGCAAAGGAAAGTGAAGGGGAAGTATAAACGGAAGACCTTTTCAGATTAGTCTGTCAGCTGAGCAGCTGCATTGCCCTTATCCAGATTTCCATGGGTTTTGTAAGGAAGTGAAACGATAAATGGCCTCTATGAGGCCCAGAAAACTAGGCTGAAAAACTGAGTGGGGTATGTGTTTATTGGGGGTCTTTCGGCTTCACAATAGCTTAAGGAGTTTTCATCGACCCTTCAATAAAGGACAGGAAAGTGTTTGTGTGAATGTGGCAGAGAAAGAGAGATGGAGCTGGAAGGTTCTCCGGACAAGCGCAAAAGAAGCGACTCTGCCTCCTGGCGCAGTTGCTAGGACAGCGCGGCCCGTGCAGCAACGGCAGAAGCCGCACCGCGTCTCGGCGGCGGCTGCGAGACCGAGTGACGCATTGCAGGTACGAATCAGCCAATCAGAGGCCGTTTCAACGACTATCGTAGTGCGCGTCGTCCCTGAGATGCTCCTCCGCGCCGCAAAATAGCGCTCCACAGGCGAGACTCCACCGGCCTTTCAACGGCTCACTGTTGAACGAAACCCACTTACGTCATCCGTTCCCCCATTTCCCTTTATCTCTTGCCTCGTCGATCAAATAACTGTGGATAAAGGGGTCTCGAGGAGAGTTTGAGGGGAGGGGGCTGGCCGGGACTCGTTTGCGATGTTCCGTTATCTGGCGTACGGCGGAGGGATCTAGCGGAGGGAGGTGTTTATGAGGCACTGGGGGCGGAGGAGGAGAATTAGTCCGAGTGGAGCGAGTGAGCCGAGTGGTTGTGTGGTCGTGTCTCGGAAACCGGTAGCGCTTGCAGCATGGTGAGTGCGTCGCTGAGCTGCTGGCGCTTGACCTGTGGCGGGGAAAGGCTGAAACAGATAAGCTAAAGAAAGGGGTTTCGCCTCATTTCCACCCTCAAGGAGTAGCTTTCCCCAGAGGGATGGCGCAAAAGAGGCCGGGGGCGCCCGTGACGGTAGTGTCGCAGGTTCTCCCCCATCCCCCCTACTCCACAGGGGGGCTTCCTCTAGTCAGTTGGAGGGCTGGGCTCACAGCCCCTGAGGCTGGGCAGCTTCTGCGGGAGCTCGGCTAGGGAAGGATGGGTCTGGGGTGCGGGGCAGTCTAGCACCTGGGAGAGAGGAGGAGAAAAGAGGGGGCAAGGGAGCGAAGAGTTCTTTCTGTCGGACGTCTTGAAAGGTCAACCCAGTGGCCAGATTCAAACACCCAACGGACGGTTAGAGCGGGCGCCAGGAAGCGCCTTTGTCCGCTGGCGGCCGCCATGCGCCTGGGGGGGGGAGGAGCGCGCGGGGCCCCGGGGCGAGCGCTGGCGCCGCCGTTAGCCCCCGCGTGCCGGGGTCCGGGGGGCGCGCGAGCGGGCGGCGCGCTGTGTGGGCCGAGCCCGCGCGGCGCAGGGAGCGGCCAGTGGGGGCGGGGCGGGAGGGTTCCGCGCGGGGCCGGGAGCCGCCGCCCGCTCTGCTCCGCTCGCGCTCCAGCTGCTGCGTTGGCACCTGCAGGACTGCGGAGGTTTCAGCGGCCCGCTGCACTGCGGGGCCGGCTGGCGGAGGAGGGAGCCTCCGCACTTTCCCACCCAGCTGGCCACCCTGTTATTTCTATTCCATCCGAACCTTGAGGCCGTCTTCCAACAACCAGGCTGGATTAAGAAAAAAAAAAAAACGTTTTAAGTGGCTTTACCTTTGAAGGAAATGAATTTTATGCCTTTAATCAACGCATCTCGAAAGACCTATCCTGTTAGGAAGAGCGTTCGGCTCTGGCTGCGGTCTGAAAGGTGTTTTATATTCACTGAGCCGGGGTGATTGCCATTCTGTTGTGAAAGTCGGTCTTCATGTAATCGATCTTATCTTCATATAATAATTGCACGGGTCCCTTTGAAAGGGGCCACTGTCCTGTTCTTGAGTACTCGTGCACTCCTAATGGTAAAAAACCACGACCACACAGCATGCCTTGAAAATGACTCTTATTTCCGTGTAGAAGTTGCCAGCTGATCTTAACGTACAATTCATTTATACAATAAGGACTGTCAAATACTGTACTGGTAGAAGAGTGTACGGGGAGGGCAGGGGATTTTAGAAAGCATTTTTCTGTTACCCAGGACTCTTGGACCTCCCATTCCTTCCTGTTTAAAAAAAAAAATTGCGGGTGATAATTTGCAATACTTATTTTGTGGTTCGTTCTGCCAAGTGGTTAATGGCGATGGGTGTGTCCAAGAGGCAAGGTGACATCTTAAACAGGAGTTTGGAATCCTTGCCAAGTGAAACCTCCAGCCTGTATGGGTGTGGGGAGAGTTCACCATGGTAAAAACTAGCGTTCATATAAGTTTGATGGATTCTTCCCATCTTGATATTTTACATTATTTTTAATTCAAATATGCTGGCCGAATTTATTCTTTAAACAAAAAGAGGATTACATTATAGGGATGTAATAATAATTTCAAAATATGCAGTATATATAAATTTTTAATTAAGGAATAGGTATTTTCTAATCCAGTCTCATAACCGAATTAAATATTTAAATAGATTTTCTTGGGGAAGTATAGTTTGTGTCTAAATCTGTGGTCCTTTGCCAATGATAAGCTTTTGTAGTTAATGTTTGCGTCATTGCTGTAAAGTATATAATAAGCTCGCTTATTGATATTGTAGTCAGTACATGTTTATTGAGAGGGGATTGATTCAAGAAGAATTGAGCAGTGTGATAAGTTGAAAAAGTGAAAAGCCAGAAAATTTTGTTACTTCAGTTTAAATAATTGTTATTCAATCATACTGTAAGGTCTGTTTCTGTTAGACCAGAAAATCAAATAATTTGCTTTGGCTGTATTACAGAAAATTCTAGCTTTGGATCGAAATTAGACCTTTTACTAAAAGATCCTAATTTTTATGAAGTGATTTTTTTTTTTTCCAGTAGTTTGTTTTGGTTCAAGATGCTATATAATAATTGCTGATCTGTCAGAATTAAAGTATCTACTGAAATAATTTAGACTGATTTTGATAAAGGCAAAAAATTTAGCCTGGCTTATTTATAGAAAAAATGTTAGCTATTGAAGCCTTTATATCTAAGTAACAGTTGGGTGGAATGAACGGATAGAAATGGACAGAGGGTAGCAATTTGTATTTCCTTTTGAGCCTGTGAACTCAGATAAGACCTTCAGATTTTCTAAACCACTTTTCCCCACAGAAACTTCACACATTATGGGTACCTACTTTTGAGTGCCATTTCATTTACTAGGTACATAATGTATTCGCTTCAGGGCAAGCAGTAGTGCAGGTTAGTGGTTCTCTAAAATGCACATTGGGTTCAGTAGGTTGGGGTGGAACCTGAGAGTATACTAATGTCTGGAAGTCTGCTTTGGATTGACAAAAGCAGTATGAAGAATTATGTCAGCAGTTGAAAAAATAAGAGAGTAAGAACTAGTCATCTCTAGTGAATTAGTCTTCACTTTACTGAGATAAACACATGTTAATGAGCTTGTGTTTTCCCAGAAGTATAATTCTTATTCTTCTAAATAAGAAAATGGCACTCTCCATGGACAGAATGAAGAATAAAATTTATTTGGAAAAGTTAGAGTGTTAGGAAGTCTGATTGATAGTCTTGGCTTTCAAGAGGTTACAACCTGAATGTTGCTGGCAAAGTTTATTTTAAAATTTTTAACTTGGGTAAATAGTATATACAAAAAAACTTCTTGAAACCTTCTGAGCAAAATTGAAAGGTTTAATGTTATATAATTTAGTCTCTATTGTGCTTAGTTATTTCCAGTTCTTTTTTTTTTTGATCAGTTCTAAGGTTGCAGTTTGCGTGGAGATCTAGAGCTAGAGAAGATGGCTTAAAGTTCTTAAATTTTGACATTGCAAGCAAATTTGACGATTTCAAAATTTCTTTTTATAGCTAGCATCTTCAGGCCTTCTCATCTTTCATATTTGTGAGCCCGCCCCCAGCATGGGGTATGAGAGAACATACCCATGCCTCCCGGTATATAGCACTAATTCCTTTAGCTTTCACACATAATGCAGTGCCTGCCAGACATTTAGCTTAACATTTTTTAGTTTTCAGCTGATTTCATCTGCCACATCTGTTGAGCCTTGTGATTTTTAGTTTTCTACCCTTAAAATTGACACAGAAAATGGTACCTTTGCTGAAAAGGGCTTTATAATGCCATGCATGTTTACCACCTTTGTGAAAATTGGGCTAGTCAGGTTTATATTTAACATTGTAGGTTAATTAATTTATGTAAATTAATAGTTACCATTAACTGGACCTTTAGACTATCTCCTTATAGTTTTGCTCTGTACAACAGCCCTCAAAAGGATATTGTGTTGCAGATGGAGTTGACTCTGAGAGGTTGAGTAACCTGTCCAGGGTCACACAGCTAATTAAGTGGCAGATTTGGGAACCAGCTCCAATATGATTCCAAACACTGTACTTATTTCTATACTGTCCCTGTGGCTCTTCCTTCAAGAGACCTGCAAAATGCAATCTGACTAGAAGTAAATTTTCTGTAGCTTCTGTTATAAATAAATTAACATTCTCAGTGGATTCCCTGGATTTTAAGTTTACTGCTAGGTAAAACTGCTTGACCTAATATTACACCAAATGTTTGTTAGTGGAGGATTGGGACTTGTAGGAGAAAGAGTTTATCTTGGGAAACTTTTGCATTGGAACTTAATTGCTAATTTCTTCTTTTTTTTTTTTTTTCTTTAATAGAAACATTCATTTCTTATCATGGTCAAATTAGAATTATTGAGCAGGGAAAGAAACTTCTTACTGGGTTCATTTTAAAATTTTCTCATATGTACCATTGAGAAATTTGAGGCCAATTCCACATTAAGGTTAGCCTTCCTCAGGGTGTGTTCATTTGTTAAAGAGTGAAACCAGGCAGTGTTTATTTTTCTTCTCCCAACAAGTAAGTGAATGGATTAATCAGGGTACACTTTCACACTGGTAGGCATTTTAGATAGTCTCTCTTGGCAGCACTCCTCAATACCATGCTGTTGTTTTATGGATGTATGTACTAATAAGCAATAAGCAATGAAAGATGAAAAATGAATGCCACAAGAACAACAGAAAAAAAGTGTATATTTTGCAAATGTTATTATGGTGTTCTGAAATTCAAGGTACAAGGTATGTGTGACACTTTTGAGTCTTAATTGTGGCTCTGTTATTAATTTTGTTTTACCTTAACCCACCTAAATTAAACCTGACCCTGAAATTAAAGAACAACAACAACAAAGCCTCAAGAAACTCTTCTATATATGCTGTAAAAACATCACAAACCAGCTGGGTGCAGTGGCACAGCTACTGGGGAGACTGAGGCAGAAGGATCCGAAGTTCATGACCAGCTTCAGGCAACGTAGTAGTGAGACCCTGTGTCAAAATAAAAAGGGCTGGGGGTATTGTGCAGTGGTAAAGTTCCCCTGGGTTCAGTTCCCAGTCCTTCCCCATATCCTTTCTCTCCCCCATCCCCACACCCATTACAAACTTTAGGCTGACTTTGGGATTTCAAAAAGAAAAGAAAATAGATGGCAGGACTTAGATTTGGTAAATATTGTAGTTAAGATGGTCAGAACCCTGGATTTTTTGCATTTGCCTGCCAGATGAGAAGTACTAAAAACTGGCAGTACTACTACTTTTTTTTGGGGGGGGGATCACTTTTTCATGTCAGAATGGCGTTTCAAATCATTCATGGTAATAACTTTCAATTTGGGATTCTTAAATATTTGCTCTCAGTGGCAATTTCTAGTAGTAATGGCTTGTATCTGCTGTGGGTCAGCTTAAATTTTGGTATTCTCACCTTGAAAAAGAAAACACCATTTTTACTGGGTTCTGTGCTTTAGAAGAACAATTCCTGATGAATTTGTATGACAGATTTTCAGTTGTGGATAATAAACTTTCAAAAGTATTCTGAAATATGTATATCCTAAACATTGAGTCAAGACTTTATATCTGTGAAGGTAAACCAGATCTGTGTTTTCCTGATACTAAGAAATGTTGAACTAACTGAAGTTCATGATATAAAATGAACCTTGAAAGTTTCAAAACTTATTTCTGCAACTGTTAATTTACATAACTTCTAAATCACTAATCTACCTTTTTGATTTCTTTGTAGGCTGACCAACTGACTGAAGAGCAGATTGCAGGTGAGAAATTGCTAGATTATGCCCATTCGTGTTTTTTTTTTTTTTTTTTTACAAATTAACTGAATAGACAACTCAAAATAGGTACTTATATGAAATAATTGGCTTTGTTGTATTTCAGAGATGGTAACAACTGGATGGAATGTTAATATAGTAATTCAGCCTGCTTGGACAAGTGAGGAAGTAAACATTTCCTGTAAAAGATGCTTGGGGCTGTTGCTTAAAGCAATGTATTTTAGTCTGTGTGGATATGCTTAAGAGCTCGGTGGTGGTCTTTGTATTTTGAAGATTACCTTACCATAAAACATGAATTCTGGGCTAGTAAACATTGAAGCTCCAAATCGGTATCCACCAGAAAACGAGCCAAGTAGTGACTTAAGATAATTTGAAATGTAGAATTAGGAAATGAATATTGAGCTTGGTGAGATGGTGTGCCCCTGTAATCCCAGCAACTCAGAGGCTAAGGCAGGAGGATCAAAAGTAAAGGCCAGCCTTGGCGATTTAGTGGGGACCCTAAAAACTGGCTGGGGGCATAGCTAAGTGGTAGAGCACTGCTAGGTTAAGTCTCCAGTACTATGAGCTGGGCTCCAGAGGTTGAGGCAGGAGGATTGAATATTCAAAAGTTAGCACCAGCAACTTAGACCCTGTCTCAAAATAAAAAAAAATAATAAGGGGTCTGGGGATTTGGCTAAGTGGTGTTAGGTGCCTCTGAGTTCAATCCCTGGTACAAAATAAAATGAAAAAATCCCCAGGACCATGAAAGAAAAAGGAGAAGGAAGGAAGAAATTAATTCTAAGGAACAAACACTGAATTTACTCTGGCTTAAATTAGTATTTTAAATTTAGAATTGCATATATAGGTTGGGCCTCCTTAATGTGAAAATCTGAAATGTCCCAAAATCAGAAACTTAATGAGGGCTGATATGACATCATCAGTGGAAAATTACATACCCAGCTTCATTTGATGGATTGAAGTCAAAATGCTCAGATACTAAAGATAAAATTACCTTGTGAGGTTGGGTATATTAAGGTGAGTAGGAAACAAATGAATTTTGTGTTTAGACTTGGGATCCATTTACAGGGTGGGTTATAAATTCATAAATACTTTAAAATCTGAAACATTTCTGGTTCCAAGCATTTTATATAAGGAATACTCAACCTGTGTATTCTCTATTGGTGAATAATTATTTTCTCTAGAAAAGAAGTTTATAAATGTCACTGAATATTGACTTAAAAAGTAGTGACAGCTATTGAAATGAAGTTTTTAAAATGCGGTTGGCTACGGAAATATGTGAAATTATTACATAAAACCCAAAATCCTGTTTTCTTTGTACTATATCATTTAAACATTAATACTTTTTAAATTTTTATTCTAATACAGACTTTGAGATGGGTAAAATGTTGGGGGAACCTCCCAAATTTTTTGTATTTTAAAAATTAATTGCAGTGTTAGAATGTTTTTCAACCTGTTCATTTGCTTTCAGTAGACTTTATTTAGCACAAGCACCAAGTAATTTAATTTCAAATTTCCCAGTAAGTCAGGAAGAGTTCAATAAGTGCTTAGAAGCACCTGAACATTTTCTAAAACCCACATGGAACTCAACTATGGATCTCTCAATAAAAGCTTAAAGCAAAGGCTGGGGTTGTAGCTCAGTGGTAGTGTGCTTTTCTAGCATGTGTGAGGCACTGGGTTTGATCTTTAGCACCACATAATAAGTAAATAAAGGTATTGTGTCCATCTACAACAAAAAATAGTTTTTTTTTTTTAAGCAAGTCTTCCACCCCATGAGTTTACAGAAAAAGTTAAGTCTCCTCAAACAATTAATAAAATATTATATGAAATTACTTACATTTATATATTGGTACTGGGGATTTAACCCAGGGATACTTTACCACTGAGCTATATCCCCAGACCTTTTATATTTTAAGACAGGGTCTCCCTGTTGCTTAGGGCCTTGCCAAGATGCTGAGGCTATCTTCAAACTTGTAGTCCTCCTGCATCTGTCTCCTGAGACGGTAGGATTACAGGCATGCACCAGCATGCCTGGTGTGAAATTGTTTTTATATAATGTTTCGTTCAGGAGATAGACAATTTAATGTTTCCAAATCTTTTTTTCTTTGCAGAGATACACATGAGAGTTTATTTCTCAAAGCTGACAAATAAAGACCATCTCTCTATAGGAGAGATGGCCTTTAGTATTTCCAGTCTTAAACTCTGACCTGTAAATATATTTGCTTTTCATTTATCATTTCCAATCAGGTAATTGTGTCTCTTTGTATATCTAATATATAACATTCACTTCAGTATAGAAAATGTTACCCCAGGTGAAAGTCACCCGATTGATATTCATTACTATTCTCTTAACCACGCAACTCTTAAAGCTTACAAGTAGATGATAGACTTTTTAAGCTGGACAATATCTTTATTTTTATCATCTACTTGTTCTCAGAACAAATGTTAGCAAGCCCAATAAGTACTGTAACATTGAGTATGCCAACATACTTTGAAAACTATTTTTATTGACATGTAATGATCATTACTAAATCTTTGTTCAGAAATTCTAATAAGCCAGGGTTAGGGTTGTGCTTCAGTGGTAGAATGCTTGTCTTGCATGCATGAGGCACTGGGTTCCATCCTTAGCACTACATAAATAAGTAAAGGTATTGTGTCAATCTACAACTAAAAAAATATTTTAAAAGAAAGAAATTCTAATAAGCCAGGTGTGGTAGTGCATATCTATAATCCCAGCACTGGGGAGGCTGGGGCAAGAAGGTTATATAAGTCAAAGCCAACCTCAGCAACTGAGCAAGATCCTGACTCAAAAAAGGGCTGGGGATGTGACTTAGTGGTTTTGTAGCCCTGGGTTCAATCGCTGTTACCAAAAAAAAAGGAAGAAAAATTCCACTAACAGCAAATAACTTAATCTTATTGAGGTAAGGTTACTAAACTTGTTATATTACTAGGTCTTAAAGAACACCCCAGCCTGTTGTGGTATCATTAACAAGTTAATTTTGTTTGTGACACAATATCTTCAGTTGTTGGATTTTAGACACTCAAAAGGACAAGATACACAAGAAATTTCCTTCCCTCACTTCCATGAGACTTTATTAAATGTTGAAGGCCCACATTTGAAAAAATATTAACCTTATATAGTTTTTAGCAACAATTACATATGACAATATAGTTTCCATACAATAGACCTTTAAAAGGGATATTACAACCTATTTTAACAGAATTATAGATATATGTAATGAACTTATTAATTAGGAAAGGGTCCTGAGGTTGCTAATGAAGAAGTAGTAAAACTTGGTGACTTTTCTGAAAATTTCAACTTAGGCATAGCTCAAATGAATTTTGGGAAGTTCCTTAAAACTATCAGTTATGTAGAAGATAGCTGTTCTGACATTCAGGACCTGTTCTTTATTGTGTATTTAGGTTTTAACTCCTGGATATATTAGGTCATTTTAGGGATTTCCCTTATGCAGAGTTAAATGCTTCTGTACATAAAGGTTATGCTAGTTCTGAAAAGACAAGTGAATTTAAATTGTACTTTGGAGTTTATTATTTTATTCTTATTTCAAGCAGAACTTTGGAATAAAACTTGGCTTCCTCCCCTTCCTTTGTTTGTTTTTGGTACTGGAGCTTGAACCCAGGGGTGCTTTGCCATCGAGCTACGCCCTCACCCTTTATTTATTTTTTAATTTTTTGAGTTGGGGTCACACTAAGTTACTGAGGCTGGCCTCATACTTGCAATCATCCTGCATTAGCCTCCTAAATCACTGGGATTATAGGTGTGATCTAGCTCTAAAAATCTGACTTTTTTTCAATGCTGAGGATTGAACCCAGGGCCTGTGCATACTAGGCAAATTAGGCAAATGCTCTATCACTGAGCTGTAACCCAGCCCTATCATCATTTTCTTGCATTAATAAAGTAAATAGTAGGTATAGCATTGTGTTTAATTCTCATTTATTTTAGCAACATTTAAAGTCTCATTGGACTTTTTAACTTCTTGAAATTTAGAGCACAAATATATAAACTTAAACCATTCCTCTTTCATAATTTAGTTAATAGTTAAATCATTTAATTATTGCTGCTTTAACATTGGGAAAGTATGTGCTTAATGATGGCATTAAGTAATGCCCGTAGCTAGATGTTCCATAGCAGAGAAAGCAATGTAAACAAATATGCATCTCTAAATACTTTTGTTTTTTGTAACCTAAGTTATTAAGTGATACATTGTGAGTGTATGAATTATAATGGTTTATATGTTTCTAGGTAATGAGTACGTCTTTTTTTTTTAAACCTTTATCAAATCCTTTTCTTTATAGGTAGGGAATTCCTAATCTATTTTTGTCATTAGATTGATGTAGTTTAGTGTTATAGTATTGTCATAAAAGCTGTTATTAGTGTGGCACTAAGCTTCTGATTTGAAATGAGTTCCTCTGGAAACAAGTGATATATAAATGAATGGAACTATTATAATACTACTGAATGTGGCAAGCTACTACAACTAGTCAGTGATATCTAAATAAAGCTAAGCAGTTAAAATAATTTTAAGCAGAAAAAAGTAACATGGTGTGTGATCCAAAGAGATAATAGATCCAGGCTGACGTGTGGGTGATTGTAAAGAATCCCATGGGTGGGGGGAGGTGCTATTGCACATACCTGTAATCCCAATGTCTTCTGGAGGCTGAGGCAGGAGGATTGCAATGGTAATAGTCCTAGCAAAAGACAGTGACACTTAAAACCAAAATATTGGTTGTAGAGGTAGAAAAAGAATCAAGTAATATTAAAATGGTAGATTTCAACAAAACTTGTTAACTAAGAAGTTTTTGTTTTAAGTAGTATAGATGAAATGGTCAGAGAAAGTGATAAAATTGGTCACTCTACAGATTGAGATAAGAGCCAAGGACCTTTTGTTTGGTGCAGTGTAAAGTGGGAGGGTAAACCAAGAGAATTCTGAGTTTTTCAGTGCAGTAGTTCTAAGTGTTTACATAGATTAAACTTGGGAAGGTAGGTACAGTTAGTCCTCCTACCCCCCCCCCTTTTTTAACATAAAAAAGTCCCTTAAAACTATCAGTTATGTAGAAGATAGCTGTCCATTTACTACATATTTTTAGTTGTAAATGGACACAATACCCTTATTTATCTTTATGTGGTGCTGAAGATCAGACTTGGTTCCTCACACATGCAAGGCAAGTACTCTACCACTGAGTTACAACCCCAGGCACCCCCCTCCCCCGCCCTTTTTTTTTTAAAGAAAAATGATACAGAAGCAGATTGAGTTTTTTGCCCTTTTTACTTTGCTGGTAAGTAGCAAAGCTGAGATGTTCTACTCAGGAAGTCAGGATCAACCCTGCTGTTAGCTTCTGTGCCATATGGCCTCTACATATCAAAACATATCCTGGCTAATCAGGCAGCTAAGGGCTTATTGATTAACTTATTTCACACACCCCCGCACAAGGTTGGAGCTGAAAGTGATTTTTAACAATGGATTGTTTAAGTAGTGGTGCCTTCCAAAATTTGGGAAGGGATAAGTACAAGCACTTAAAAAGAAAACATAACATAACTTAGGTGTGACTTTATTTTTAGGCTGAGAGACTTGAAGATATATATGTGTCAATGGGCGAAATCAGTAAAGTAGTAGTTGAGTTCAAAGAAGAGATGGAAGAACACAATTTCACAGGATCTTGAGAGATAATTTATTTTATTCCTTATAAGCTTGGAGTTTTATGTGTGAAAGAAAAGTCTAAATTGTCTTTGTTCTCAATAATTGAGCACTTGGTTAAGACTTGACATAATCTTTCAGCCCCTTTTTGCCATCATTATAAATTATTTGGTGATAGTCCTGTATTCTTTCCTATAAAAGAAAATTAGCCTATTGTATATACTGAAGTTTAAAATTATTTGGTTTTGAATATGGTAGGCAATTGATTTAGACAGTTTTCACCTTTGAAGCAAATTCTTAATGCACTAATAAACAGTATAATTACTCTGGAAATATTTATTTGGTACCAATAATTTTATTTTTCAATTGTTAGTATAGGTTAGATCTGTAATGTTGAATTATGTTCCATGAAACAGTTTCAGTGGCAAATTCATTTGGTTGGGGCTTTGGTTCTTTTCCTCTTTCAGCCTGGAATACATGTATTTTTTTAATCTGGTCTAGATAACTAATTTCCCTGTGAGATTTTAAATGTAAAACTCCCCAGTAGCTCAGTGTGAAGCCTATACTAGGGTGTGATTGGCCAAAAAATATTTGAAATGTTATGTTTTCCCACCTATTTTGTTAGAAATCCATTTTAGATGCTGTCTTTATATATATCTTTGCTTTAGTAAGAATGAGTGAGTACATTTTTAACATTTTTTGGTGAATTGGTTTTTGTTGTTGTTGTTAACCTGTATTTGGATTGTGGTCTTTCAAACAGAATTCAAAGAAGCTTTTTCACTATTTGACAAGGATGGTGATGGAACTATAACAACAAAGGAATTGGGAACTGTAATGAGATCTCTTGGGCAGAATCCCACAGAAGCAGAGTTACAGGACATGATTAATGAAGTAGATGCTGATGGTAAGTAAGTCTTTTTAATTTGGAGGGAATAGGATCAAAGAAGAGGTATTTACATTCTATTTAATATTTTAACTAAACTATTTTAGGTAATGGCACAATTGACTTCCCTGAATTTCTGACAATGATGGCAAGAAAAATGAAAGACACAGATAGCGAAGAAGAAATTAGAGAAGCATTCCGTGTGTTTGATAAGGTAGGTATTCAAGGACTGTATAAAGTCAGATTTTAATTTGAGGATGAAGTGAAGATGCCAAGACCTAAGTTTTTGAAGACATGCTTCTGATGATTTACCAACATAATTTAAATGTCAATAAAAGCTTTTTAAATCCAATGTGCTGGTCCATGCCTATAATCCCAGCTACATAGGAGGCTGAGGCAGGAGAATAGCAAATTTGAGGTCAGCCTCAGCCTTGTAGTGACAACCATGTCTCAAAATAGAAAATAAAAAGGACTGGGGATGTGGCTCAGTGGTTGCCAGTACAGAAGGAAAGTTGTTTTGTATAAACTTAGATTTCCTGATAACATGTATTTCATTGATCTTCTGGAACAGAAGATAATCACGTGACTTTGGAATGTGGGAATTGTGGTTCTATTATTTTTTTGTGGAAGGGGGATGTGTGTTGGTAACCGGGGATTGAACTCCACCACTGAGCCACATCCCCAGCCCTCTTTTGTATTTTATTTAGAGACAGGTTCTCACCAAGTTGCTTAAGGCCTCACTTTTGTTGAGGCTGGCTTTGAACTTCTCTTGCCTCAGCTTCTCAAACCACTGGGATTACAGGCATGCACCACTGCATCCAGTGGAATAGTGGCTTTAAACATAGGACATCCTGCTTAGTGACATTCCGAAGGTGATAGATCAGCTCAGTTATTTGTAGATTCTGTAGTTTGTATGGATTTCTAATTTTAACTAACTAAATTTCCTTTATAATTCTAATTTACTCATACATTATGCTAAATTTTTCACTAGGATGGCAATGGCTATATTAGTGCAGCAGAGCTTCGCCATGTGATGACAAACCTTGGAGAGAAGTTAACAGATGAAGAGGTTGATGAAATGATCAGGGAAGCAGATATTGATGGTGATGGTCAAGTAAACTATGAAGGTAAATCACGGTCTCATGCTGTGCTTTTATTTTTTTAAATTAAAAGTAAGTTGGTTATCTCAGGTTAAAACTAGCAATACAGATTTTTTTCCTCAAAAAAATTAGGATGCTAAAATAGTACATATTTACTAACCTTTTTTTGCTATTCCAAATGTTATCTTCAGTCTAGGCAATGTCACTGTCACTTAAGAACTTTTTAGAAAGATCAGTTTTGCATCTATACTTAGAATTTGCATTTATGGATGATTATGTGATTCATAGTACGTTAAAGTTTGAGAAGCACTGTACAATTTTTTGTATTAAGGATTGTGTGAGACAATTCAGAAAGCTTTCAATTCCCTATGTGAAATTAAGGAACTTTATTTCTTTTACTGCCTTTTCTTTATTCCCTCTAATTGACTTTAAATATAAAGCTGTTTACATATGCTTGAATTTAAAATCAGATGCATCTTTAAGCTTCAGGATGGCCATTGTAGAAAGCAAGGCCTTCAGAAATTTAAAATTTTCCACAAACATTTGCCTTATATTTTCTCACTTGTATTTTGACGTAACTACTCAACCTAGAAAACAGCATAAAATTAATTCTAAAGATTAAATCTGGTTCATTCCTCCGAAGTGTGTTGTTCACTGGTAACCCAGTCTAAATTAAAAAACCAAATTGCTGCCTTTTTTTTTTTTTTAAGTTGTAGTTGAATACCTTTGTTTTTTGTCAAACCCAGGTCCTCACACATGCTAGGAGAGCAGTTCTACTGCTGAGCCACAACCCCAGCCACCGCCCCCCCCCCCACAAATGCTGCTTTTTTAAAAATATAGCTTATATAAAACATTAGTCTTATACATTAATAATCTTGAATAATTGCAGTTTATGAAGTTATAGCCTTGGCAGTAAACTAACTTTCATCTATACTTTGTGGTAATTTCAAGGAAAGAAGTGAAATAGAGACTACTACTTTATGACTGAGTGTATGTGACTGAACCTGTTATGTTTTTTCTTTTCAGAGTTTGTACAAATGATGACAGCAAAGTGAAGACATTGTACAGAATGTGTTAAATTTCTTGTACAAAATTGTTTATTTGCCTTTTCTTTGTTTGTAACTTATCTGTAAAAGGTTTCCCCCTACTGTCAAAAAAAATATGCATGTATAGTAATTAGGACTTCATTCCTCCATGTTTTCTTCCCTTATCTTACTGTCATTGTCCTGATACCTTATTTTAGAAAATTGATCAAGTAACATGTTGCATGTGGCTTACTCTGGATATATCTAAGCCCTTCTGCACATCCAAACTTTAGATGGAGTTGGTCAAATGAGGGAACATCTGGGTTATGCCTTTTTTAAAAGTAGTTTTCTTTAGGACTTGTCAGCATGTTGTTGTTGAAGTGTGGAGTTGTAACTCTGCGTGGACTATGGACAGTCAACAATATGTACTTAAAAGTTGCACTATTGCAAAACGGGTGTATTATCCAGGTACTCGTACACTATTTTTTTGTACTGCTGGTCTTGTACCAGAAACATTTTCTTTTATTGTTACTTGCTTTTTAAACTTTGTTTAGCCACTTAAAGAAAATCTGCTTATGGCACAATTTGCCTCAAATCCATTCCAAGTTGTATATTTGTTTTCCAATAAAAAAATTACAATTTACCCAACTGTTGCTCTGAATCTGAGTCATTTAACTGGTGAAGTTTAATTTAAAGAATAAAATACAGAATTGGTTTATCCTTGTTATAATTCAGATGTTTTTGCTTTTCACTCAAGATTGTACCTCATAAATTAGGATAAAACATCTTAAAAAGGTTTAAATGAAACATTAACAAATCTTTCTAAAGCTTATGTATCATGGGAATCAGCATAAGGTTGATGCTTGTTGTTTCATACCTTTTAATTGTACTTTTAAACTGCAATCCATTTGTCCATTTTGACTTGAACCATAAAATGAATTTTTAAATGTTTGCTTAGTTATCTTTTTTTAAACTACCTTTTAAATAGTTTTTTAAAATTACAAATACAAGCCTAAAATATTATATATAGTTGTTACCGGCTTATTGTAGCCCTCAATGTTTTGAATCAGCAGATTTGACAAGTCATGCCTATCTATTTAAATCAAGGGAAGTTATAGGCCTTGATAATCCTGGTGGGAATGTTACTTTATTGCAGTTGACAGATTAAATAGGAAGAATTAAGATGGGATGTCTATTATACCAGTGTTTTCTGTATTAGATATAACAGTTTTAGTTAAAATCTTACAAGGTAGTGGAATAAGAGCTTGCTTTTCTGTTTCCCAATGAGGTAGTTTTCTCTAGGATATTTTGGACTTTTTGAATTTTATTGCAGCACAGTGTTCAGATCATCACTGTGTAACACTGAAGAGGTCTATTCAAGTTTCAGTTATCTTACCTAAAATGGGTATAGTTTCCTAAACTGGTTCCTAACAATGTGTTTCTGAACCAAGAACTATGACTTTAAAAAGTCATTTTCAGGCTGGGGCTGGGGCTGAGCGATAGAGCGCTGGCCTAACAGGCGGGAGGCCCTGGGTTGGATCCTCAGCACCCCCAAAAAAAATAAATCAACAAAATAAAGATATTGTGTCCAACTACAACTAAGAAATAAATTAAAAAATAATGTATCACTTTCACATCTTAACCATGTTATTGTGTGTTAGCATAGTTGGTAATATTTCCCACAATACCTTCCATAGAATTTTGGCTCTCAGATGTTTCTTCCAGTAAACCTTTGCTATTGGAGTTGAAGTTAATCCACAGGTATAATATATTTTCCTTGGAGTTTCTAGGAAAGGGTAAAAAAGTTTTTTTGTCTGACAGCAGAAATGATGTGGGGCTCTAATATTGCAGTCTTGTTTTTTTAAAGGAAATTCCTCCTTAACTCTTACCCTGAAAATACGACTTAGTGATAACTATACAAGACATTGTTTTCTTAGAGAACATTTTGTTTATCCTACATGCTTAATCTGGTTTATGGATAAAGTCCTTGAAATCATTGACCCATCCCGTTTCTATTTTTGAGATACATAAAACTATTTTCTCATCAAGATGTTCCTTCTGTTCAATTTCACACCTTGTATGGGTTTCTGGACTTCTCTGTACCCTTCATATTCTTTTAGTCTCTAGGGTCCCAGTCCCTCGTCTGCTGAGCCAGTTTTATAGACTCAGCCAAAATAAGAAAATGAAATGAGGCAAAGGGATGAACCTGATTAATCTATTAAATTTATAAGTACTCCTGTTTACTTCCTTCTTGGCCCTAATTTGATTTTAAACCTAGTGCCTGGTTCTTTTTTAAAAGTGAATTTAGGTTTCCAGTATTTTAAAAGAATTGAAGTCCTATTGTCAAAAGCTCACTCACAGAATTGTGTTAGAATTACTAGAAATACAAAATCTGGGCTGGTGATGTAGCTTAATGGTAGAGTGCTTGTCTAGCATGTATAAACACCTGGGCACTGCAAAAAAGTACATATATATGAGGCCCTGTTCTGGAACTGGGCTCAGTTTTAACACTACGGCCAGATGTTTTATGTGAACATCAGTGTTTCAAAGGCACAGCTGTAATCTATAGTTTTGTTTAGAGGGGAAAACTGGCACTTTATTCAACAAAATATTAACGTTCCTGTGTTCCAAGGGTTCAAAATAAAGAAACCATGTTATAAATTAGCAACTTACTGAGGCTGTGGTTTTTTTTTTTTTTTTTTTTTTTTAAATATTTTAGTTGTAGTTGGACCCAATACCTTTATTTTTATATGGTGCTGAGGATGGAACCCAAGACCTCGCATGTGCTAGGCAAGTGCACTACTGGTGAGCCACAACCCCAGCCCCTGAGGCTGGTTTTGAACTTGTGATTCTGTTTCAACCTCCCAAGCCACTGGGATTACAGGCATGCTATGTTACAAATTTTAAAGTTAGAAGACAAATGATTTTTCAATTATTTCTTCAATAAAGATAAACAGTCCTTTGGGACATGGCAGGTTACATCTAGGGGTACTAAGAGGAATTGACTCTTTGAGTTTTCTAGGTGTCAAAGAAGGGAATAGTATTTCATACAGGAGGGTTAGCATATATTGAGACTATAGATGTGAAGATATCCCACATTTGGGGTTTACAGAGAGCATGAAGTTGTAATGAGAAAAGAGGTGAGAGTTTGGATTGTAAACTTTGTTTTTGCCCACACTTTGTGAATAGTGTATCACAGACATGGTTCCAAACAGTAGCCAATGTAGCAGGTATTACTTTATTATCCTCTATAGAGGATAGGAAAGAAGCACAGAAGCAAATGCAAGTCAGTGTTCAAATCCTGGTAGTCAAGGGAGGAGAGGGATTCAAGAATGAGGGAGTAATTGATGCATTAATGAAAAATTAAGGCTTCCTTAGATAAGAGCTGAAAATCCCCACTGGATTTATCAGATCACTGGCAAGTTTAGCAATTTCAATTTTAAGTTAAAAGGTGTGTGTGTATGTTACATTAAAATGGTTAGGAAAGTACCCAAAAAAGGAAAGGATCAGGTAGTAGGTCCACATTAGGGAAGCAGAAATTTCATGGTATGAAGGGCAGTGGAGTCAAATCTGTATTTGGATGGCTCTGCCACTTCTGTGTGATGCTGAGTCAAATGGTAAATTGTCCAAGGAAGCCTCAAATTAGGACTTAAGATTTTTCATAAAATCTTCTTTCCTAAAGCCGTTGCAGGGTGGTTTTGAGGATTAAATGAGATTAATGTATGTGAAGTCCCTGGAACATGGTAGGTACTCTGTAAAATGAAATTAAGGTTGAGGGATGGTTGATTTGTAAAAAGAATTTTTCTAGATTGAGAAACCCAAAATGAATTTAGTTGAATTCTAGATTGAGGCCCAAAATGAAGAGTCTATAGGGAGAGGGAAGGGATTGATCTGTGGTTTCACAACTGGTGAAACCTGCTGTCTGGTGCTCACTCCTCAAAGGAGAAGTGACGCCAGAATTTCGACTTGGATGAATACACACAGTGTATGCTCAAGCAAAGTATTCCTTTATGCCTCCCAAGTGATCTGGAGGGGGCTGCTGGAGACTGCGGAGTTACCTCCCGGTAACACTCCTTTGACGCAGATACTCACCCAGGACACTCTGGCGACTCCAGAGCCGGCTAGATTTTCATCACAAGCGCATGATGGTCTGGAGGGATTTCCTCTGCATTGGCTTCGCTGGCTTTGCTGGGCGCCTCGCTGTGAGTGCCCGCATCCCTTCCCCCACCACTGGAGACAAACCTGGCGGTGCTCTGCGCACGCTCCGGAGCCACGGCCGCACGGCGCCTCCTAGCAACCCGACGCCTAGGGAGAGGAATGGCCTCGATGGACCAAGCAGTTGTCACCGAAGCCTCCAGCGCAGCATTAGAAGACATCGGGCGCGGAGAACCGATAGTGTTTGTCAAGCCCCCGGTACGGTGGTACTTGCTGAGAGCCACGGCCGAGTCTGTATGGCCCCTGGCATTTTGCCAACAGTATTGATTGACAGGCGAGGCATTACTATCCGCCTCTGCCGCAACTTTTGAGTTCTCGCACTATTTTGGAGTTCTCATGGGGATTTCCGGGGATTCCCCGAGAGTTCCCATTGGTTGGGGAAGTGCAGGAGGAGGGATTTCCGGGAGAGATATTTCCGGCTGGGGGTTCCTGGACAAGCCTCCTGGCGCGTTCGGGAGGATTCCCCGGGAGCTGTGTGAAGTGTTTTCCTGCAGTTTAAAAATAAAGTTTGTTCCTGCTTCAGTGGCTCGTGATTTGTGCCCAGCCAGACTGCGGCATTTGGTGGCCCGTACGGGGGACGTCTGAAGCTTCGGGGTAAGTGAAATTGCTTGCCCCTAAGGGAAGGCGAGAGAATGGGCGACCATTTTAAAAAACAATGTGTTCTTGTTTTGATTTGTTTTGTGTTTGTTTCAAGCTGCCTATCCCTAGAATTTTCTCAGGCCGATTGGGAAAAATGGTTGGCTCAAGGTTTGAAGTTGTTCACCCCTGAGGAAGAGATAGAAATAGACCACAAATGCACATGTCAAGAAAATAGGAAAATTGATACAACGATTTTTTGTTCCGTTTTTGTTTCATCCTGTTTCGGTTTTGTTTTGTGTTATCTTACTGGGTTGCGTTATCTTTATAACAGATTAGAAATTAGTAAAAAACAAACTGAAAGAGTGTTAAGTAAATTGTTAGAGGTTCAGATCATGGAGAAAGACATTTTAGATCAAGCAAAAGAGAAGGTCTCTCAAGCTAGTCAGACAGAGGAAGAAAATTTAAAGGAAGAAAGCTTAGAGGAGAAACAGCTATTAGGGAAAAAGCTACAACAGGAGGCTGCTACTAACACCGTTCTATCACCAGAGGGCGTAATTCAACCAACAGCTCCCCCTATGGAGATAGCTGAGTGGCCCTCAAACCCCGTAGTTGATAGATGGGATCCTGAGACAGGACCTCAAAGATTAGCATGCCCTGTACTTGAGCAGGCAGGAGGGCAGCGAATTCACCGTGCTTTAGATTTCAAAACAGTGAAGCAGTTAAAGGAGGCTGTAACAACCTATGGTCCTCAAGCACCGTTCACTGTAAGCATGGTCGAATCCATTACCAACTTGGACATGACGCCAGCAGATTGGGCTAGTATGTGTAAATCTGTGCTAAATGGAGGACAATATTTGTTATGGAAGGTTGCCAATGAGGAATTTTGCAGGGAGACAGCTAGACGAAATGCAGCAGCCGGTTACCCTCAAAGAAATCTAGATATGTTGTTAGGAAAAGGGCCTTATGAGGGTCAACGGCAACAAATTGAATATGATCCTGGCGTATACGCACAAATTGCTGTAGATGCGGTTAGGGCATGGAAAACTTTACAGGGGCATGGAGGTTTACAAGGTCAATTATCTAAGGTAATACAAGGAACTAATGAACCTTACGCTGAATTTGTAGATAGGCTTATTCAAGCAGCTTCCAGAATTTTTGGGGATACAGAACAGGCAATGCCATTTATAAAACAACTGGCTTATGACCAAGCAAATCGTTGTTGCAGAGAGGTCATTAGACCATGGAGACATGAAGATTTAAACACATATATTAAATTATGTAGAGACATTAATGAACAAGGGCAAGTCTTAGCAGCAGTACAACAGGCTTTAGATGCCAGGCCAAAAACATGCTATAATTGTGATCAAACAGGACATTTTAAAAGGAGTTGCCCCATAGGAGGAGGGTTTAACAAAGCTAGATATCAAACGAATAGAATACCGGGTATTTGCCCACGATGCCGTAGAGGGAAACATTGGGCTAATGAATGCCGTTCTCAAACCACCATAGAGGGTATTCCGTTATCAAAAAACAGACAAGGACCAAGTGTTTACCCACGATATCGTGGAGAAAGGCATCGAGCTCCATTGCCAAAAAACGGACAGGGGGGCCCAATGCTCCGGGGCCCACGACCACAAATGTACGGGGCACTGGAGGAACCCAGAAACACCATGGAGGAACCCAGCAACACCATCAGGGTAGTGCCCAGGACACATTATCCATCAGATCTCTCATCAGACGAACCAGAGGGAGCGCAGGGTTGGACATCTGCGCCTCCGCCAGAGCAGTACTAACTCCAGAGATGGGAGTTCAAATCATTCCCACAGGAGTAAAAGGACCTCTTCCCCAAGGAACAGTAGGCTTATTGTTAGGACGCAGTTCTTCTACGCTAAAAGGACTTATGATATGTCCCGGGGTAATTGATCCCGATTATGAAGGTGAAATAAAAATTATAGCTAGCTCTCCAAAGGGTATATCAGTAATTTCACCAGGAGATAGAATAGCACAGTTATTAATAATACCCAGCCTACATGATAAATTTTCCAGTAGTACTATAGAAAGAGGTTCCAGGGGATTAGGCTCCACAGGTGTAGATTGGGCTATGCTGTCTTTAAATTTAGATTCTCGTCCCATGCTAAAACTAAATATTCAAGGACATGAATTTAATGGACTACTGGATACAGGTGCAGACCTTAGCATCATATCTCGTCAAGAATGGCCAAAACATTGGCCGTTACAACAAGCCACTCAAACGCTTCGAGGCCTAGGAGTGGCGACTAATCCCCATAGAAGTGCAATGGTATTAGATTGGAAGGATCCTGAAGGATGTGAAGGAACTATACAGCCATATGTATTGGATCATCTTCCTATAAATTTATGGGGACGAGATGTCCTAGATCAATTAGGTTTGACATTAACAAATAACATCAATCCAAATGCGCCCACTATTAGGGCTAGACAAGGTTTCAGGAAAGAAAAAAGATTAGGAGAACAAGGCATAGCAGCACCAATTCAGATAGATCAGGGAATAAATAGACATGGACTGGGTTTTCAGAAGGGGTCACTGAGGCAATAAAAATTACTTGGAAATCAGATAGACCAGTATGGGTTCCTCAGTGGCCCCTGACTAAAGAAAAGATACAAGCAGCCCATGACCTGGTCAAACAACAATTAGCGGAGGGACATATACAACCTTCCGTATCTCCTTACAATACTCCCATTTTTGTCATTAAAAAGAAATCTGGTAAATGGAGATTATTGCAAGATTTAAGAGCCATTAATAATGAGATGGTTATTATGGGACCTGCTCAATCAGGGATTCCTCAATTGTCTGCTTTGCCAAAAACCTGGTACGTTTTAGCTATAGATATTAAAGATTGTTTTTTTTCAATTCCAATTCATCCTGAGGATAGTCCACATTTTGCATTTACTATCCCTGCACTGAATCATGAAGGTCCTGATCAGAGATATGAATGGAAAGTACTCCCTCAAGGGATGGCTAACAGCCCAACTATGTGTCAAATTTATGTTAACAAAGCAATCCAGCCACTTAGAAATCAAAATCCTAAACTACAAATATTTCACTATATGGATGATGTATTGTTAGCACACAAAGATAAAAACACATTGCTAGAATGTTATGCCACACTTACAAATTTATTAAAAAATTATAATCTAGAGATAGCAATAGATAAAGTACAATTAAATTTTCCAATTAATTATTTAGGAGTTCTATTATCCTCAACCATGGTCCGTCCACCAAAAATTCAAATACGAGTAGATCAACTCAAATCACTTAACGACTTTCAAAAGTTATTAGGAGACATAAATTGGATAAGGCCTTATCTAGGCATACCAACAGGAGAGTTGGGACCTTTATTTGATATCCTAAAAGGTCCATCAGATCCAAATTCACCCCGCATGTTAACGCCTGAAGCAAGAAAGGCATTAAAAATTATTGAAACATATATGGAAAATATGCATTTGGATAGAATTGATATAACTTTGCCTTTATTATTTATTGTAATACCAACAAAAAATATTCCTACAGGAGTATTTTGGCAAGAAGGTCCATTATTGTGGATACATTTATCTTATTCTCCTAACACTATTCTTACTAGGTATCCTGAGGCTGTAGGACAATTAATACTCAAAGGAATAAAAGCAGCAAAGGGAGTGTTTGGAATTTCTCCCAATAAAATTATTACTCCATATACTATGGATCAAATTGATGAGTTAGCTAATGAGTTAAATACTTGGGCAATAATCATGTGTAAATCTAATGTTTCATTTGATAATCACTTACCATCTAATCCTTTGTTGTCTTTTTGGTCTTCGCATCCTGTAGTTTTTCCAAAAATGACAAGAAAAACCCCTATCATGAATGCTCCAAATGTATTCACTGATGGGTCAAATAATGGTACAGCAGCAGTAGTTACCCCTGATCAAACTTTTACATTTTTAGTACCCAAACAATCAGCTCAAAAGGTAGAGCTTAATGCAGTTTTACAAGCTTTTGTGATGTTTAAAGATTCTGTATTTAATTTATTCTCTGATAGTCAGTATGTAGTTAATGCTATAGTATCCCTTGAAGATGCTGGCAGGATTTCCCCTTCCTCTACTGTTTTCTCTTTGTTTTCTGCTATACAAAGTGTAATCTGGGACAGAAAAGATCCATTCTTTATAGGACATATCAGAGCACATACAGGATTGCCTGGAGCCCTTAGTTTGGGCAACGATTTAGCAGATAAAACTACACATGACATACATATTTTCTCTACACTAGAAGAAGCTACACATTTTCATAAAAGGTTCCATGTCAATGCTAATACTTTACAAAAGCGTTTTAAAATAACTAAGGAACAAGCTAGACAAATAATAAAACAATGTCAAAATTGTGTGACCTTTTTACCACAAGTTAATCTTGGAGTCAATCCTAGAGGACTGATACCTAACCATATTTGGCAGATGGACGTCACACACTTGCCACAATTTGGAAAATTAAAATATTTGCATGTTACAGTTGATACTTCTTCCGGATTTTTGATGGGCTCCCTTCATTCCGGAGAAAAAACTAAAGATGTTATAGCTCATTGCTTACAAAATTTTGCCACTGTGGG